GTCCTAGTCTCAGGTTTTCTTTCAATGATGTTTCCTAGCCAGCTCGCTCGCGTACTTTCCCTCCTTACAGTTCTTTTAGCTGGATGTACAGTCTCCCGCAATATGAAGGACCCATTCGACCAGGCAGTTTGAGGCTGTTTTGGATTTGCCTATGCCTGGACCATATTTCTTGACGTGAAAGAATGAAATAAACTTTTATCTTTCTTCTCGCTCAAAATGAAGTGCGCCTGGCCAAAGTGGAATAAGCGCCGCCCCATAAATTGCATCGGCGAATAGGTCCTTCATATTGCGAGTGACTGTACACGCACTTAGCGCGGGTGTACGGCCTAGGGAGCAGCTCGACATGAGAAATGTCGCGCTCCGTCGGTTCTTCGATGGGGTCTGGACTAGCTCATTTGGCGGCACATGTATAGTCGTCTGGTGGAGATATTAGTCAATCCTGTGACACAGTCTTTACTTTGTAAAACATGAAACATCATCTCCCCACCCGGGTTCTTCCTCACCTTCTACAGATAATTGATTCGGCATTGTGATACACAACCGCCACCGAATGCAAAAAAACTCAGGTAGATAAAATAAGATGTCCATAATAATGTTTGAGTCTTGGTGGAACCTTAGAAAAAAAAAACTGGGTGCGAACTCCCGAGAGTCCTGAAGTATATCATTGCCTGAGGGCCCGGGATTTTTTATGGCAGTCGAATTTCCCGGGCCTTGTGTAATAAGAGATACTGAAAATTGCATAATTTGGCATGGAACTACTTCAGGTCATGCAGTTAGTTCACGCCAGATTGTCAGATCTATAATGAGCGAAATAATTAAAAGCTCACTAAAACAGCATTAGATGACATATAAAAATACTCTCCCAGACTAGCGTCATGTATCCATAGTGGAGACTGGACCTCCTCAGGCAATTTTGTGCTTTCCTGAACCAGGGGCAGCTGCCCCAGAGACATTCGGGCTTAAATCTCCGGAGCGAAAAGACGCGGTTTTCGGTGCCAGGGACGGGAATTCAGAAAAATACAGAAAAATAATTAGTATAAATATCAAAATGCTCTCCTCGATAATGATACTAGACATACCCAGCTACTTTCTAAACGAAAATTCGAAATTCTCAGGCGATGTTTGTGGCTTCCTGAGCCGGGCGGAACTGCCAAGAAAAACGTTGGGACTTAGTCTCCAGAGCGAAAAGACGCGGTTTTCGGTGCCAGGGACGGGAATTCAGAAAAATACAGAAAAATAATTAGTATAAATATAAAATTCTCTCCTCGAATATGATACTAGACATACCCAGCTACATTCTAAACGAAAATTCGATATTCTCAGGCGATGTTTGTGGCTTCCTGAGCCGGGCGGAACTGCCAAGAAAAACGTTGGGACTTAGTCTCCAGAGCGAAAAGACGCGGTTTTCGGTGCCAGGGACGGGAATTCAGAAAAATACAGAAAAATAATTAGTATAAATATAAAATTCTCTCCTCGAATATGATACTAGACATACCCAGCTACATTCTAAACGAAAATTCGATATTCTCAGGCGATGTTTGTGGCTTCCTGAGCCGGGCGGAACTGCCAAGAAAAACGTTGGGACTTAGTCTCCAGAGCGAAAAGACGCGGTTTTCGGTGCCAGGGACGGGAATTCAGAAAAATACAGAAAAATAATTAGTATAAATATAAAATTCTCTCCTCGAATATGATACTAGACATACCCAGCTACATTCTAAACGAAAATTCGATATTCTCAGGCGATGTTTGTGGCTTCCTGAGCCGGGCGGAACTGCCAAGAAAAACGTTAGGACTTAGTCTCCAGAGCGAAAAGACGCGGTTTTCGGTGCCAGGGACGGGAATTCAGAAAAATACAGAAAAATAATTAGTATAAATATAAAATTCTCTCCTCGAATATGATACTAGACATACCCAGCTACATTCTAAACGAAAATTCGATATTCTCAGGCGATGTTTGTGGCTTCCTGAGCCGGGTGGAACTGCCAAGAAAAACGTTGGGACTTAGTCTCCAGAGCGAAGAGACGGGGCTTTCGGTGCCAGGGACGGGAATTTAGAAACATACAGAAAACTAAATATTATAAATATTAAAATGCCCTCCTAGATCATGATACTAGGCGTAACCAGCTACATTCTAAACGACAATTCAATATTCTCAGGCGTTTTCTTTGGCTTCCTGAGCAAGGCGGAATAGCCAAAAAAACTTTCAGACATACTCTCCACAGCGATGAGACGCGCTTTTTTGTGCATGTGATCAGATAAAAAAAAAACTAAAAAATAATTATTACTATTATCAAAATACCCTCCTGGAATATGATACTAGACCTACCGAGATATGTGAAAGATGCAAATTAAATCTCCTTATCAATTTTTGTGGCTTCCTCAGCCAGGGGCGACTGGGCGAAGAAATGATCTGGCATAGTTCCCAGAGCGACAGATGCGATTTTTTTGTGGGAGGGGCGAGATATAAAAAATTGCAGGAAAATAATATTTATGAATATTAAAATTTTTTTTCCGGAGAATGATAGTAGACATGCCCAGCTACATGCCGCGTAGAAATTTTACCTCCTCATGCATATTCTTCTAATTTCTTGACCTTATGAAAAAAGCACTGTATAATTTTGTCGGCAAAAAGGCGACAAGTAGCCTAACTCGCACTTTTTGCCTACTGCTTTGCCTTTTAACACTCCAGAAGCTTCCTTGAGATTATAAATGCGAACTAGGGTGCCTTCATCTCCGCTCTAATCGGGGTGATGACATCTTTTGTAGTACCCGATGCCGACAGCACGTGCTCACAACGAGAATACAAAGAAATGCCTTGAAAAAAAATGGTGCCGTAGCACAAGTAAAGCGCGCTCCTACCAAAGAATAAAAAGCACAGCGCCCGTATGAGAAATATTGCACCATTGTTGGTGACATGGTCACGTGACGATAATTTACGGGGGTCACGTGACCATCGTCGTTTGCGCCACATTAACCACGTAACCACAGTGAAAGAGTGGGCTAACGGAAGCCACAAGGTCATGTGACCATGATCCGTGGGGTCATAAGAACACGGTCCGTGGAGTAACGGGAACACAACGCGCGGGGCGGGGGGGGGGGGGGGGGCGTTCCTCTCCGCCAGGTCTCCACGCGGGAAATGATATCGCATTTAAGCCTCACAGGTTGTCCAATTGTCCAAGATGACAGCCAACTTTTTGCCGATCACGGGCGAGCGCGGTTCTTCTTGGTGGGCGGCCAACGAACCCCCCCTCCTCTCACCACCCGAAAAGTACAGAGGAAGCACCTAGAGCTCCCAGAAGTGTGTGAGTCAGAAATTGTGTAAAGTCGTCGATTTCTTTACTAGGATTTGGGCATGGTACAGGAACCGCAGGATATCTTATTGGTCTATAATTGCTATCGACATGTATGGCGCTAAAATGAATTCGTTTGTCCTGTGAAAAGAAGGATCTTGCTACCATGGTGCAATCATCAGAAATATATATTTCCTTCTTTAAAATAGTAATTATTTGCGAAATATTTTGGGCGTGAGATCTCTGCTGACCCAACCATGTTTTAACGCTATTGCCAGCCCTCGGTTATTAGAGACCTTTAGACCTAGATAACTCAAAATTGAGCGTAAATTTCAAAATTCTCTCCTGGAATCAATTAAAGCTAAGATTAATAAAGCGATCGCATTTGACCTCAAGCTCCTGTGGCGACAAGCTTTTCTTCCTGGGAGCTGAATGTCATGGCCTCGTTTTCAATGGGAGTCTATGGGATTCGGTTTGTTGATTCGGGAAGGAAATGTAATGGTCGTGAGGCACTGAAATTCTTCAAATAAGCGGGCTATTAGATCAATACTATGGCCTCGCGAGTGCAATTAAATTTGTGGAGTTTTAACTGAATTACAAAAATAAAACTTTTTTGCCCATTGAGTTACGCTGGGGCGCTGACGTGACTGCCGAGAGATGGCGTAAGTTGCGAGCGGCGGCATGTCCCGGATTCTTGGGGTTGATTGAAAATGAAAACGTGTCCAATCATTTTATTTCAAATTAAACCAAGCCGCAGCTGCCTCGTCAGAGTACAGAGGCTACCAGTAAAGGCCGGTTCAGACACTTGCGTTTGAGTGCGTTTGACTGCGTTGCATCGAGAACCGAAAGCGAGTCACCGGCACATCTGTGCTTCGTATGAAACGTGCAATCCAATTCAAAGAATCATCTTAGCACACGATATAAGTAGCAGGGATGTCCTGGTTTCTCGCTGCCGCAACGCAGTCAAACGCAACTGTCTGAACCAGGCTTAAGAGTGCGTAGCCAAATTCGAACACGGAGCCTCCGTCAATCGTCCCGTTGAAACGGCACCTTTTATCAATGCTATCGCGGAATGAAATTCATGACCCTGATGTCCAGTGCATAGCGAGATCTTCGGCGATTTCTTTTAGAGTCGCTCGTCCGTCGGCGATGAACTGTGCGAATAGGCTTAGCGTAGAGCAGATCGCAGCGTTGACGCATATTCCGAGCGGCGAACATTTTCACTGTGCACTCCTTCAGCTGCACGACGATCTGATTGAACCGCGGTAGGTCCCAGAAAGAATTGCTGAGCTGAACACCACGAAATTTTACGTAACACAGAACTTCGAAAACACCACGTCGCCCTTGCTGCGCCAGTCGAGGTAACCGCCATCTTGAAACTGGCGCTCTCGTTGGGTCCGAGGTCCCTCGAGAGCGTCCCGCAAAGCCCGCTAGCCCGCCTCGCAAAATCCCCAGCGTTGCGTGCGTACGCAATACGCTAGCCCTTCTATTGCGTTCTGCGCAAGCGACCTCACGACCCGCAATTTTATTGCGTACGCAAGGCTTTAGCGTACGATCCACTAAAACTGTCTATTATCTATGAGGAGAAAGTAGAAAATATATGTCGGAGATAAAACATCTTCGAAATATTTAATTTAGAAAAGTAACCAATCACGAGAATGCGTTTCGGAGTGCGCACGAAAAAAAAAGATAGTTTAAAAAGCGACTTACAACTCCAAGTATTCTTTCACATTCCCTGTGTGGTATCAAGAACTTATTGGAGCCAGCCGTGCAAGAAACCCAGCAATTTCCGATACTCATGCCTTCATATTTCTGAAAAACAAAAGATTTTACCGCTATGAAGGTTTTGCATATAATTCTGCAATCTACATCAATATTTAGGTTGTTTATACTGCACACAATGAATATCAAATATATTCCAATGTTATTTTAGGTTTACTTATATAGGGTGGACCAAGTCACAAGGCTCGATCTAAAATGGACCGTAAAAATCAACGGCTGCACGTAGCAATCCAAGATTTTGGTCAAAAATGTATATCACAGGTCGGTTTTTTCTTGCAAAACTACAAACCGTAATTCTCTTTCTGTAAAAAATAAGGGCCAAGAAACGTGCCAGGGTCTACGGTGGGCAGCGACTTACACAACAGGGGTCCAGTAGTGGGGTGTGTTTGGCGTTCATTTTGGTAGATGGCGTTGGGAGCAACGTCCGAAGGTGCAGCCAACCAAGGAAAGAAAGCAGACCACACGCAGACCAAATCCGTAGGCACCAAAAGCGCCGCCGTTATGCAGATGCGTTTTTTTTACTTTATGTTTTGCTTTTATTTTCCGCATTTCTTTTTAACCGAAGGTAGATTTGAAAAAGATTATGTTAATTTTAACAAACCACGGTTGTCGGGAGCCGTCGCGATAAGGAGATAGCGCCATCTATCAATACGAACACTCAAACACACCCCGCAACAGAACCCCTGTCGTCTGCGTCGCTGCCCGCCGTAGACCATGGCAAGTTTCTTGGCCTTAATTTTTTACAGAAAGAGAACTACGCTTTCTAATTTTACAAGAAAAATACACCTTTGACGAAAAGTTTAGATTACTGCGTGCAGGCGTCGATTTTTACGGTTAATTTTAGATCAAGTGTGGTGACTTGGACCAGCCTATACGCCTCGCAAGTGGGCTCATTTTCGTCTTCTGGGCATAAGAAAGGAAGTAGCGGTGACGTCAGAACGCCGAACTCTGATTGGCAGTTCGCGACCCCCTATCTCAGCGTCGTCTGCTCCTTTGCAACGTCGTCTGCTCGCAACGTCGTCTGCGTCTGTCTTACCTTTTTTGCGACTTTCGGAGCGAACTCGACCTCGCCTTTAAGAGAGGGCAGACGAAATAACTCGAGCGGTACGTTGTTTTTGTCTAACAACTAGCAGACGCGCATCAAGGAGGGAAGTCAAAGGACTCCCTGGCGAGGTGTCCCGGGGCGCGGAGGTTTTTTTGCTTAGAACCGAGGCAAGTTCCCTCCCAAATACCTTTTCCCTCCATTCGTGTGCGGCGAGACCCCTCACTCTTTAATGGCGTCGGCGGGTAGGCGCAGTTAACGTCGTCTGCTTTACGTCTGCTAGTCAAAGCGGTCAAAGCGATGGCTGCTTTACCTTTGCTGCGTCTGTCGGAGATTCACCGCTTTTTCATCGGCGAGAGTCACCGTTGCCTCGGCAAACAAGGAGATAACAAGAGGAAGAAATTGACATTTTAATCTAAAACTGAGGTCAGCAATCAAAATATTATACGGGAAGGGTTCACAAGGGTCGCGCGGGCATATTCCACTCAGCATGCCAGCCGGTCGTGGGCAGACGGTCGCCGAGTCGCGGAGAGCCTGCTAGGCCTAACTGCCCAGCTCGTTTGGTCGCGTTCGGTGGGATCGTGGCCGTGGGAGCTTTTCCCGGGTGTTTGTGGATCCAGCGTTTTTGTTCGTCGTGGTCTGTTTCAAGTACTTTTTACTTTTTTCTTGCTGCTTGAAGTCGGGACGCGTCAGAACCGCACGTAAAAAAATAAACGTCCGTGGGTCGTCGCGACCGCGACGTTGTCGGCCATGCTGATTTGATCGTAAGAAGTGCGTAAGACAGCTTCGGAGCTGTCGTAGGATTTTGTCGTAACCTGCGCGAAACTTACGAAAATTTCGTTTCGTGAATACGAATTTGTTCTTAAGTTTTGTCTTACGCACATTTTTGGCGTAAGATCGTTTTGTGAATCTGGCCTTGCGGAAGTCGCAGGAAAGGTAAGACAGACGCAGACGACGTTGCGAGCAGACGACGTTGCAAAGGAGCAGACGACGCTCAGATAGGGGGGCGCGATCAGCCAATCAGGGCTCGGCGTTCTGACGTCACCGCTACCCCCTGCGCGAGAAGCAGACGAACTTCCCTCCGCATATATATACTGAAACGGAAACCCCGCTATCCACTAGGTTTTAGGAAAGGGAGTGGTAGCATCCTCGACACTAGTCAGAAACACAAGTTGTAGGAAAACATTGAATGTACACACTATTTAAATTTTATTGCTATTGAATAAAATATTAGAGTCAAACGTTTTTTAGCTAGACAAGGTAGCCCTTATGTGTTTTTTATTTTTATTTACGGCGTATCTGCTTTGTTGTTCAACATACTTTGAGCGCATTACTATGGAGACATTTGTGTTTCCCGAAAAATGGTTCCCCCATTAAAAATCCAACATATCGACGAAAAAGTTTACTTTCTACACCAGGCAGGTAGTTTTCGGGGCTGGGTTGGAAGGTCAATTAGCACAGGCTGACGTCCTTGGCCCCGGTGCAATGCATACGTTGGCCAGAAAGGAGAAAGAAGGTTACGAGTGCGAAGGAAACGCTGTCTTGTTTAGCTATATCATTACGGTTATTGCTTTCGCAAAATAATGCGAAGAACGGCGGCCGGAGCTCGAAACCTCAGGCTGTGTAAAAACGCTGTGTCGAGAACTAAACGTATTAGGAAGCGAGATATAGCGAGACAAGCCTTGCGAAAGTGGAAATACTAACGTGGGAGTCGCGGTGAAAGGTCAGGCGGTCATCATTAGTAAAGAGGGAGGGGGGGGGGGGGGACTTCTGATCGAAAAAAACGTTTTGAAAATGAAGAGGCTAAACTCATTTTATCCCGAGGGTTCATTATGTAATAAAATGAAACATCTTGGAACCATCATTTCATTGGTCGGTGGAACCATGGCTTTTCCAAGACACTTGCCCAGTACGTTGTGACATCAAAAAAGGTTCCGCTGCTTCGACGCGTTATCTTCGGCTCTGGAGACTGACCTCGCACCTGCGAATATTGTCACCAATGGTTCGGGAGCCCCGATTCGGATCTTCAATGTTTCTGAGCCATTATAATTTGAACTCAATGTAAATAATTAAAATACCATGATGTTTGTATGTGAATGTGGTCGTGTTAGCGCTTGTGGATTTTAGTTTCATAATAACGTTTATAAAATATTAATATATCATTGATTGTCGCATTTTTATTTGCCGGGCTAACAAGAGTCTGTCAACACAATTTTTTCTTTTGGCGATCTGGCGTTTTACAGCATATAAACTAATTTATTATTATTTATTAAAATATAAGAATATAGTACTTCACTGCCCCAAACTGTGAATTCCTATCATGAATTTAACAAAATTCATTAAAGGAAAGTACAATACGTGGCATTTATGCCGCGATCCTTAAGCCTCCTCAAACATCGGGGCACGGAATGAACAAATGCGTTGCTTTCCATATAACTCGTTTGAAGGTATATGGCCCAAGTCGGGTTGCTCTCAGAAATAATAAATTTAAAGTAATTACATTACTTTTTAAAGGTCATTTTTAATTGTAATCAATAACTTTTCACGTAGTAGTAATTGTAATTGTAATTAAACTACTTTTTGAGCAAAGAAATTGTAATTGTAGTTAGATTACATTTTGAAAGTAATTTACCCATGTATGCTAAAGACAGGGCTTCTACTCGTTCGTCGTCATTCGCCGAAGGCGCCCTTTAAAACCCTGTGTGAGCCGTGAGTCTGACCGTTAAGAACAAATGGAAATATTTGCGGAAGCGCAGTGCCAGAGGAAAAAGGCGCAACTCGTCGAAAACAAGTTTCGCCGGTCTCGTGGTGTGATCAAAGCTTCCATGGCACGCCGAAGCACTGCGTCTCTACGCCTTCGCATGCTTGGATACCGATCAAGAATCGACACCGCGCGGATGTGTTTTGCGAGTTCAATGTGCGTGAAGCCGTATGTGCCTCTGGAGCAGCGTTCTATTTCACTTCAACAACGGTATTTGTAACTTGCGGCACTCGCGTTACAGAAACGAGCTTCACCCAGAGTCCAGCGGCGACGGAAGAGGGGGAAGGTTCGTATTTATTTTTTTTTGTCATTAGGAGGTTTACGGAATACCGCGCGCAACAGCTCCCCATCACTGATGAGTGCTGGCTTTTTATCAACCATCTTTATTGCATCTTACGTATGAGCGCGGCTCGCCTAATTGTGTTTGGTCAACAGAACGCACACGACCGTGTGGGCCGCGGTTAAAAAAAAAGTCATTTGCACCGTCTTGTAGTTTTTCCTTTGAAAACCCTCCTTGCTCTACAACGTTGCTCTGTGCTGCCATGTGACTTATTAGAGTAGATTTGGAACATAGCCAGGGTTAATAGTGCATACGACCAAACAAACAGATTGTTTACTCCCTTTATTGATAGCAACTCGCAGGAGCAGCTGGACGATCCAGAACTCCGTGGCCCATATATAGTAAAAAGACACCTACGTGCGACAGACTTTCAAAACTTCGCAGCGAAGCCGATTCTCGATCGGTACCCAAGCGTGTGAAGTGACAGAGACGCGGCATTTTGGCGTGCCAAGGAAGCTTTGATCACGCCGCGAGACCGGCGAAACTTGGTTTCGAAAAGTTGTGCCTTTACATACGGCTTCAAGCACATTGCACGTGCAAAACACATCCACACGGTGTCGACTCAGCCGGTATCCAAGCGTGCGAAAGCACAAAGACGCAGCCCTTCGCTGTGCCAAGAAAGTTTAGATCACGTCGCGAGACCGGCAAAACTTGTTTTCGAAGAGTTGTGTCTTTACATACGGCTCCACGCACATTGCACGTGCTAAACACATCCACACGGCGTCGATTCTTAGCTGGTATTTAAGCGTGCGAATGCACAGAGACGCAGCCCTTCGGCGTGCCAAGAAAGTTTTGATCACGCCGCGAGACCGGCGAAACTTGCTTTCGACGAATCGTGGCTTTTTTTCTGTGGCACTGCGCTCCGTAAAAATGTCTACGTGTTCTCG